TCGTACAGCGCCTTTGTGAGTGAGACATGGGGGGGGGCTGGTTTTGGCCTTTGTTATGAGGAATTCTGTCTGGTCTTTTCTTCTGATGACTTTGAATGTGTGTCTCAAGAGTTGTTGTTGTTGTTGTTGTTGTTGTTGTTGTTTTTCGTCTGTCTTCTCACTGTGATCTCACTGTGACTGTTACTGGATGTTTTGTCAGGTGAGAGAGACGCGGAGGACGGTGCGAGATTCGGAGACAGGTTTGGAGAAGATGGCGGTGGGCCACCACATAAACGACCGTGGCCACGTGGTGGAGAGGAGTCGCAACGCCAGAACTGGGGAGGCACACGAGAACCAGGAGTTGATCAATCTGGATGAAGGTGAGAAGTTTGTGCGTGTGGACGTCCCATCATGCTTGCTCGTTCCCGAGAACGCTTCAAATTTATCGTATCGTAGCCTTTTGCGTGAAGTAGAATAGCAGCCAATGGGGGATTTCTGTCCATGTGTGAAGCCACGAGCTGCTGACGAACCAGCAATAGAAATTCATTGCTGCCAACCAGAATGTAAAAGATATGTTAACCCTTAGAGCGCTGATCGCGAACTTCCGTATAGCGCTGATCGCGATAGACATTGGCATAGTATAACGCAATGTATGAAAAGAACGAAGCACTAATTTTTATACTGCTGGCTGGTAGGCTATGCTGAATTGATTTCGCCCACCATTTTTCTTGTCACGGGGTTCGATCGAGGCGCGGACAGTTTTTTGTTTCACATTGAAGTCGAATGACAGTGGAGTTGGAAACTTGGCGATTGTGACCCGCGACGAGCATGAAAATAGTGTTACATCAGATTCAGGAATGAAGATTTTCCGCGTATTTTCCTTGAATGGGAAGATGATTTTGAGGGGTTTTTTGCTAGAGCTAACACTTTGTGGAATATAACGTAGGCCTACGAAGCATCTAGATTCTAGTCTAGATCTAGATCCTCATCTAGGTCTAATGAACCAGCAGTTTTTATTCAGTCTTTTCTAACACCACGACTACAATAACAGCTTCACAAAATACTTTTTGCATCTCATATTCATAAAGAACTTTCAATATTCTAAAACTTTTATTCTTACCGTCTTTAGAAATTTTGACAAATAAAAAAGTTATTAGCAAAAAAAAGTGTATGTGCAAATTGGCATTTTTCCAAAATAAATTCAGCACAGAAGGAAAATATAAGGGTAAATAAGTCAGTTTTTGAGAGTGTCCGTATGAAAATGTAAGCAATGGTAGAGGTATTTTTCTGTCTTTTGTCTGTGTTACAGGAAAGATGCATCCAACCAGAAAGAATGAGTAAAAAAAGTGCTCCTTATTGCTAACTAAAATGTTGTGTGGGCTATCATCCCTGCATTTCATCATGTACTTTTTGTCATGGATTGGCAGCAATGTTTCCTGCTTTTCTTTTTTCCATATATGGTCACCTCTGTAATGTTTCCTTTGTCCGTGTGTCACCTCTGTAATGTTTCCTTTGTCCGTGTGTCACCTCTGTAACGTTTCCTTTGTCCGTGTGTCACCTCTGTAATGTTTCCTTTGTCCGTGTGTCACCTCTAATGTTTCCTTTGTCCGTGTGTCACCTCTGTAATGTTTCCTTTGTCCGTGTGTCACCTCTAATGTTTCCTTTGTTTGTGTGTCACAGAGGAAGCGGCCCCGTTTGACCAGGAGTACCAGGAAAAGTGGCGCAGCACGATGCGCGGCGTGGAGCACAGACGGCGCACGGAGAGGTCGCGCCACGCCCCGGTGGGAGACGTACACCGCTCGCGCCACGCTGCGCTGCCAGAGTCGGAGTCGACCCGCCGCACCAGGAAGGCCAGCCACAGGAAGGAGTAGCTCCCTCCCGGCCGCTCGGACGGAGAACAATGTCAAGGTCACAGCCCTGGCCACCAGTTACTGCGTCGTATGATTCATTCCATCCGTCCGATTCTTCTATTGGATTATGCTGTCAGCTGTATTTTCCTCCACATTTTCTTGATGCTGTTTGTGAAGTCCTGGAGACAGGAGACAGCCAGCCCTTCGTCTTTGCCCTGAGGGAGAAGTTTTCCCTCAGCTCCAAGGTGTGTGTTGCGTTTTCTTATTGCCGGTTTCATAACTCGTCGGTGAACTGCTGGAGTCAAACAGCGGGATGCTTTCATGATTGCGTTCAAGGTCACAAAGCCAGGAACTATGGTCAGGAACAGACTGTAGCCGAGATTTTTCCTCGGCATTTACTTGTGTGTGTGTGTGTGTGTGGGGACACCCGGCCTCTACTTAAACACGGCAGGAAGCAACACACTTGTGGCTCTCACAGGATAGGGAGGAACCAGAATGCCTCAAGGAAAGTTCCTGGGATTGGTGTGGTTTCTTATTGTTACATAGAAACTATGTTATATTAGTTGTTGCTGTATACTGATTTAGAGCTTGTATGTGGCCTATACCCTGCCAGGGGTGAAAGGCATTGATGATGATGTATATTGATTTCTTGCAAGGGGG